ACTTGTTCAAAACAATGTAATACTATATAATTTAAGATCTTATTTTCCCACATCCACCATATACAGCTTAAGCTGCATTGCACTATAAAAAGAATCTAAGAAGAAAAATCATTTTTGTAATAAACAAGGATTTGTTTTATAACAAGCCTGCCCAAACCGCGGCTCACGAGCCACATGCGACTTTTTCGTTTAATATGCGGCTTCAAAGAGAAAGTTTATGCAGGGCAGAAGGATCTGGACAATCACCATTATGAGAAGAGGTTGCCGAGTTTTGCGTATATTGAATATTTGTGAACACTTGTGAAATCTTTCATGAAATCTACATAACTTTTGATATCTCATTCAACTATTGACAAATAAATTCTATTCTCCTCGACCATAAGCCTGTTTAGTTTCATTTGTCTATGTTATGCAGTTGCACAGATATTTACAACTCAATCTACATCAATTTGTTTCTTATAAACACCCGTATATATTATTATATAATATGAATAAAAATTAAACAGACGTCATTCTTCCTCGGTGCATGAATCAGAATATAATTTGTTTATGCGCCATGTCTTTTTTTGAAGTTTGAAATCATGGCTGTCCACAATTTTATAATTTTATTATTGTAAATAATCTTTGAATACTTATCATCCAAATCTTTACTTCCTTTGCCACTTATCTACACAAAAGCGATAATTTATGGTCGTAAGGACGTTCTGTGAGTGTCACATTATCAAAAAAACAATGAAAAAAGAAAAGAAAAAAGAAAAGAAATGTGCCTGAGATATTTCAGTTTATTTCTGATTGTGTACATAATTTTTATTTTCTTTTTATTTTATTCCTCCGTCTTTCTAACATATTTTCTCCATGCTATTTCCAGCATTTGTCGATAGTAACTCATTTCTGTTAATTCAAGTCTCAAATTCATCTGTCTGGAGATTACCCGTCATTCCCTTGCCTATAAAATATTATATATACAGGAGTAAATACATAAATTTCTATGAACGATTTACTATTATTTAATATTAATTAATAAAAGGCATCTTTCGCTATTCTTATAGAGCTTCACATATTCTCTAGTTTATGACTAATCTACCTATATATTTAAATTCATATAACTACTTCAGTTTGACACCACCAATTCTCAACTCACTCCTTTAGGCTCTCTATTTTTGTTAACAACAATGCTGTCTGTCGTTTTACAGAAAACAGTTATTTCTATGTGCGTACATTTATTAAATAGTTCTTTCTATTTTAATTTTGTTTTTAGACAACCAAACAATGACACCATCCTATCGTATATTGTTAAGATTTTGTTTAAGCGAAATATATTAACTGAGTGCCTTTTTTCATTACTTTTAATATAAGAGGTAAGTAAGAAAATATCAAGTTTTATAATTATTTATTGGGTATGAAGTGTGATCCAATTAGATTAAAATATAATATTAAATGCTAATGTATACGTAACAAAAACGTATGTGTAAAATGTGTTCATCAATAGCGGCTATCAGACATCTTCATTTTATCGTATGAGGCTCTTAAATTAAACATGTTTGGCCATCCCTTGCCTGTGCTATAAGCAACACGTGTATCTTCTTCCAAAGAATTTCAATTCATCTGAATGTATTAGTAATATACAATATAAATAATAAGGGAAAACGTTATGAATCGAGAATATGAATGGAAGAACATTAGCAGGAATCATGAGAGTAAGAGAATGGAAAAAAACGTTGAATTAAGAAGAATTTGGCGTCACGTGTATAGTTATCATGACCATGGAACGAAGGAGGTTAATGAAAAGGATGCGGCATACAAAAAAACAAAAAACAAAAAACTCTTACAATTATTACTGCAGCATAAAGTTACCTATTTATTTTACTTGTCAGTTAAAAAAAATGAATATGGTAAAAATCTTATGAAAAGGTAACGTGGAAGATTGCAAGAAACCAGAATTAGTTTTACATGATATGACAAGTATTCTACCAGAAATTATTCAAGTGCGAGCTTAATCTAATTATTTTATTAACAATAATATATTAAACAATTATTAACAAAATTTTACGAGTCAATTATTACCAACAATATACTAAACAATTATTACGCAGCTTAATTAAATTATTAACAACAATATACTAAATATGTGATAAAACTGAGCAAGCAAATCCCAAACTAAAAGAGCGCCTTTAATTATAGAATGAATTAAGAATGAATATAAACATAAAATTACAAAAATGAAAGCAGGGACATGTGAGGACAGTATTCCGTAATTATTTTAATAGGGAATTCATCATCATAAATTCCTTATGAAGTGAAAAAAAAACAGTTTAAATCATTTTGTAGCTATGTTAAAGCGCAAGGAAAAATAACTCAACTCAGATAATGTTTATTTTAAATGAATATATTGAGTAGAGAAATAGGGAAATATGTATTGAAAGACAAGAATTGTAATCTTTAAAAATGAATGTAAAAAATAAAACTAAATAGATAGTAAAAGGTTTAGCATCAAGAGTCAACGAACTTGCAGCTTTGGCTATTTCAAACGGAAAAAATTGAAATAAAAAATTACTATTCCGTAAAAGTAATTACAATATCAAAATGAGTAGTAGTAGTAGTAGTCGTAGTAGTAGTAGTAGTAGCAGTAGTAGTAACACCAACACCAACATCAACAGCAGCAACAGCAGCAGCATTAGTGAAAGAAATAAAGATTTGAAGCAAGAGACCATGCTTGTGACAGTTAAGAAATCAGTTGTTTTTATTAGTGAAACTGTGATAAACAAAATCTAGAATATGATTAACCAAAATTATGCCTCTGATCTAACTTAAGATGTTTCAGAAAAAATAACTCCATGGGACAGCATGGATTCTTTAAACAGTTTTGTCTATGTATTTGCATGAGAAATTTGTCATGACTCGTTACTGATGGTTAAATTACAGTAATCTTTCTGCTTGAGATAAGGGAAATAAAAGGTTAAAATAATTTTCATATTTTAGAATTATCGGATCTGCATCATGATCTCCGCTACTTGCTAATGTGTTATTCCTTTGATAACCTGAAAATAGGCATTACTCAAAGCCAGTAAGTGAATAATATAACAACAGACTGATTGAGTGATCCGTTTTCTACTGCTTATAAACTCTTTGTATATTCTTTTCAATGAGAAAATATTTTAGATTGTATGTTTTGTACTATTAAATAATTATTATCTACAGAAAAAGCTAAAATCTAAATTCCAGTTGGGTTCGTTCTAGTCACTTTTTTTTCTTTTCTTTTTTTTAAGCGTTTCACCCCAAGCAAGGCGGGAAGCCACTAGGACGCAAGGGGTTACAGAAAAATGGAGCAAGATCAGATAGGAGTGATAGAAGAAAGGATGAGGAGAAGGGTAGTGGATAGATCAAGGGAACTGGAGATGTCGATTGACATTACATCTGAATAGCTGGAGATTATAGCTGTCATGGAAACTGGAATTAGGAAGGGAGTTCCACAGTCGAGAGGTGCGAGACATGAAACTATTGGAGTAGAAGAGACGGTTACATTTAGGAGTTTCGACAGTGGATGGGGTGAGAGCGCGATGCCAGCCTCGTAGGGCGCTTGAACTCATGAAGTCTGGAAACCAGCGAATGCAGCTCCTCTGAGCAATTGCCATGAAAGTATTTGTAAAACAGACAGAGAGAGGCAGCGTCGCGTCTGTGAGAAAGTGACTGTAGACGAGATGCCACTTACGAGTAAATATCCTTGGGAAAATTTGAAGCCGTAAGTGAATATAACGAATCCAATTGGAATTGGAACTCTTCTGTCTGATTAATAAATGTCGACCTATTATACATTACCACACCTGTATATTCAAGCGAACTCTCATCTATGTATTAACTAGACTAGACGGTGCTTAATTTCGGTGACTATACGGACCCAGTTATTATAAACGTGATTTGAACTTAAGTCCTATAAGAACAGAATAATTAGTAAGTAATGAAAGTATGTAGTTAAAGCTTTGCTTTTTATTATTTTGTTTCCTGTTAGCCCCTCTGTTTACAGAGCGTATCTGTCTATAAAATCAACATTGTGGATGTGTTTGTAGTATAATGGAAATCGGCTCGGAATGAGAAATCGTATACACGTGTTCGAATACCAGTCAAATTCATTACATTCACACACGCACAAATACACTGAAAAGGATTAATCCATAGCTCCTCCCTACTATGGAATAAATAGTAAGATTGGCATCTGGGAAAAACAGCATTATCTCCAAAAAAACTCATGCAATATTCCCTCTAAAAAAAGTGAAAACAAAAATTTATTCTCACAGTCCAGAAAGGTTTGATAAATCGTAAATAATAAAACAATCATATCAGTACGTGTATTTGAACACCAACGACTGTTGTAAATTCACATATGTCTTCGCTGTTAAACAGTCCGTAATATATTGTTTGAGTTGATAAATCTTACAGAAGACAGACCGAACAACGTAGAGAATTGTGAATATAATTTCGTTTAAATATAAATTAAAATACTAAAAAGTAAATTACTGAAATATTTTGGCGTTTTGAAATTCAAAATGAGCGATTCCTTACAGGTAAAAATCATCGTAAGCAAGGAAGACTTCGTAGTTGTGACATTACTTGCAAAGCATGGATGAAAAATGGTAGCTAGTGGAACGGTCAGAACTGTAGTATATTGGGTTATTATACAGCTAAGGTTATCCTACACAAACGACAAAACAGTATGGAAATTCAATGTTAGATATCTGATTGATTGATACATTTTCTGCAGCTTTCATCCCTTTTCAGGTTTTTCAAATCCTCTTAGATTGGAAGCATTTTCTGGGGAGACAGTAATGATTTATTAATAAAATGTTAGTAATTAACCCATAACTGGTCGGGGGAAGAGGAAGACTCATAAATTCTTCCAAGGTGATTTGTACCTCAGTGAATATAATGAACCCAACTAAAATTGGAACTCTGCTCTCCAATTAACAATTCCGTGCTACTGTCCATTACACCACCGGACATCCATGCTTACAGCACCGGTTATTTCCAAATGGACACCCATATAAGTACTGACCAGTTTCGACCTTGCTTAACTTCGGTGATCTTATGGGAATGGGTGCTTCAACGTGATATCTGAGAAAGTATAATGATATACATTAGTAAATCTGGGAATAAAGAAAATTTTGAAATTAACTGGTAAAAGCAACAGGAAGGCATAAAATGGTGAATAGCATTGCATCCTTCAGTTGAGCAGCAGGGAGCAACGAGGTCGGACGTATAGACGGTCCTCGCAGTGATTGCACTGTCGAGGAACAACACACCGTAGGACTTTTTTTTTTTTACAAGCAAAAGGTGTGAAATCCAGCGACTAAGTTGGTGTGGTATGCAGTTATGCTCTATTAGGCAACGGAAGGTGTATGAATGGGGAGAATGATTTACAACGGCAAAAAAAATTGAAAGTTCTAGTCGACCATCAACATTGCGAACATGATTACACATTCAGAGGGTGAAGGCCTTGAACAGGTAAGAGAGACGAACCACGTTAGTACAAATGGTGGTAATCGTGGGGATCAGCCGTGGACCTGCAAAAGCCATAGGGCGTGATTTCTTGGGGTACCGTAAAGTTTGTGCGCAATGGGTTCCTAAACAAGCACACAGTGTAGAAATAGATTTGTGAACAACCTAAAAATTTCTTTTCGGAAGGGATCAAGAATCTCGTTGAACGATAGCAGAAGTATAGAGATAAATTGTCTAAAATTGACATACGCATTTGTTCTTCATTTGGGGAGATGATGTTGATGTATGGAAATTACCTTTATAGTTTAAGTCATCCTCATAAGTTGTATTTCATAATCCCATAGTGATTAAATGAGTGTCTATTATTTTGGGCTGTGAGCGGAAAGGGAGTAACTTTAGGGTTTTAAAAGTCAACAACTACTCCAGTCCATCTGAAGAATTTAGCGAGTTACTAAGCGTAGCTTGAATGTGGCCCAAGGATAAAAGTATGGTGCATCTAGTGAAGGTCGAACTTACTACTCACTTGTAATAGATCTAACGAGAAAAGCTTCCTCACCATTACAAAACACGAATGTTCCCTCCGGCTGAAGCATTTAAAGGGGATATTTCAGTGCCACCATGTTGTTACAGAATGTGGCACATGGTCGAGTTTTAACGAGTGCTGAACAGCAATAACGTGGAAAAATTACTCAGGCCCCTCGTCAATTCCCCTTTTGGGGTACACCTCAGGCAACGGGTAATGAACCCACCAGAAGGTGAGCTACTGCCTCAGTGGATAGTAACCTGAAATTTGTCCCCAAACACCACCCGAAGGCGGGGTAATGCTTGAGTGAATAGATCCCTGGGCGTTGAGCTTAATATTATTTTGAAACTACGCCAGCCAAAATCGGAAGAGTATATAAATAAATTTAAAGAAGAAAAAAATACAACCGTATTTATACTTCTAACGAGTTTAAGCGATAATGGCCTTGCCACAAGAACCCTGACATTACCACAAAGAATCAATCGGAAACAATTTAAAGGTAATTTGTATAGTAGAAATGTAACAGCAATATAATTATTTTCCTAGATTTCGTGTCTTTGGAGGTGTTACCAATAGTCTGTAAGGTGTCACTTGGTTCATACCTACATCAATGAAATAAAAGAAAATTAGATTTATTCTTTGAAGACTCGCGCGAACACAAAAGCAAAGAAGCAGATAAATATATATGTATCTTTCTTCTCTGTAAAATATTTGGAAGGAAGTTTAATATATGATTTAAGAGATAAACGGAATTAAATTTAATGAAATATCTGAAGCCTATAAGCTACTCTAGTAATCAGATTGACACTATGGTAAAGCAAGATTTAGACTTGAAGAATGACTTAAACTGTTTCTTCATTCAATGGAAATATTAAGTGGAGCCTAAAATCATTTTCTAAATGCAATAGGATATTTCCATATTAATTTTCATTTTCTTTCATGAGAGATCGATGTAATTACAACAAAAAGTATTACCGTTTTAAAAGATAGACCATTTCAAGGAAATACGAGACGAAAATATTTCAACATTTTTCCAATAATCGTTCTTTATTTTTACCTACTGCACATATCTATCAATAAATAAAAATGGCTTTATTGGTGATAATTTCTTGACAGTGAAAAATCATTACACAAGTATGAAGAAAATTTCTAAAGAATCATGTTGCCTCATTTCAAGAAACTTTTATAAAAACAATTTAACACACAATCACCGATAAATAAAACGCAATCGGTCGATATACTTAAATTCATATATGAAATATCTTTGATTATCATTATTTATAGTCAAAGAGTACTTATCTTTTTTCTAATTTGTCATCATTTCGGCAGCAGTGTCATTCGGCCTTCATTAGAACAATATGAAGATAACGTGGAGAATAGAGTTCAGTTCCTGAATTTTCTGCATAATAATTGTGAGAAGTCTCTCAGCCAGTTAATATACTTAATTAAATGTAAACAACGCTGATATTGAATAAACCGTACTAAAA